TTGAAGCGCTCTGGACTTGACTTCCAGCTTGAGCAAGGTCTATCTTGTGGTAATTTTGGCATACCACCCTCTGATACTGTTGCTCTTCATCTTCTCTCATCTTACTGTATCAGAATTCCTCAAGGGCTTCATATGTGCTTATCCAGCAGTCACACTCTATAGTACTGTTGACAAGACTAAATCTTTCATGCTGTCCCAACATTTGTTCATAATTACAAGTGGGTGCTCTGAAGGTCAAGCTAGGTAGTCATAGAAACTGTCAAAATGGATAACTCAGCGTATCTCATTCATCTAGCAGTCGACGGATGTACTTTTCCCCCCCGTCCTTCAAGCTCACTCCACATGAGCTCAAGCTAAATCTTTGGCTTGTTTCTCACATGTTCCCATACCTGAAATCTGCAAAGCCTACTATGTGGAGTAATCTGCTCATGTTTGTAAAGCATTATGCGCTGGATTTGTCTGCAAGAACTGATGTTAGATTTGAGAGAGCAGTACTCCAATATCCATTTGACAAATGCGTATGGTGATAGTCATTCCCATCAGCCTGAAGGGGATGCTGCTTGCCAATCACAGTGGGATCCACACTGACTCAAACTAGAAGAAGAAAATATGGTTACTTACCCTATGGTAACTATAGTTCTTGGAGATGTTGTAGTCAGTGTGGATCCCCCAGCCTGTTCCCCATCTCTGCTTTTGGCGTTGTTAGCCAAAAAGTGCTTTGAGCTGCATGGGAGCTGAGGGAGGGTCATGACCACGTTTTCCTTTATGCCCTTGCATGGGAGCATGAAGAGGCACAGGGTGCAAGCAAGACCCCACAACACACAGCTATTCAGAAGATTCTGATCTCACACATGAGGTGCATGTACGCTCACAGTGGCGTCCACATTGATGACATCATCTTAAAGGACTACAGTTACATAAGAAGAAGAACAGGAGTACTTGTGGCACCGTAGAGACTAACAAATTTATTTGAGCATAAGCTTTCGTGGGCTACAGCCCACTTCTTCGGATGCATAGAATAGAACATATATTGAGGATATATACACACACACACACACACACACACACACACACACAGCATGAAAAGGTGGGAGTTGTCTTACCAACTCTGAGAGGCCAATTAAGTAAGAGAACAAACTTTTGAAGTGATAATCAAGATAGCCCAGTACAGACAGTTTGATAAGAAGTGTGAGAATACTTAATGGGAAGATAGATCAATTGAAGTTCAGCAGTTTTTGAAGCTTTTCTGTTGCAAAATTGCCACCCTCAAGTCTGTTACTGCATGACCGGGCAGGTTAAAGTGTTCTACTGGTTTTTGAATGTTAGGATTCCTGATGTCAGATTTGTGTCCATTTATTCTTTTGCGTAGAGACTGTCCGGTTTGGCCAATGTACATGGCAGAGGGGCATTGCTGGCACATGATGGCATATATCACATTGGTAGATGTGCGGGTGAATGAACCCCTGATGGCATGGCTGATGTGATTAGGTCCTATGATGATGTCACTTGAATAGATATGTGGACAGAGTTGGCATCGGGCTTTATTGCAAGGATAGGTTCCTGGGTCAGTGTTTTTCTTGTGTGGTGTGTGGTTGCTGGTGAGTATTTGCTTCAGGTTGGAGGGTTGTCTGTAAGTGAGGACAGGTCTGTCTCCCAAGATCTGTGAGAGTGAGGGATCCTTTTTCAGGATAGGTTGTAGATCTTTGATGCGCTAGAGAGGTTTTAGTTGGGGGCCGAAGGTGACAGCTAGTGGTGTTCTTTTATTTTCTTTGTTGGGCCTGTCTTGTAGGAGGTGACTTCTGGGTACTCGTCTGGCTCTGTCAATCTGTTTTTTCACTTCAGCATGTGGGTATTGTAGTTTTAAGAATGCTTGATAGAGATCTTGTAGGTGCTTGTCTCTGTCTGAGGGATTGGAGCAAATGCGGTTGTATCTTAGAGCTTGGCTGTAGACAATGGATCGTGTGGTGTGTCCTGGATGGAAGCTGGAAGCATGTAGGTAAGAATAGCGGTCAGTAGGTTTCCGGTATAGGGTGGTATTTATGTGACCATCGCTTATCAGCACAGTAGTGTCCAGGAAATGGACCGCTTGTGTGGATTGATCTAGGCTGTGGTTGATGGTGGGATGGAAATTATTGAAATCATGGTGGAATTCCTCAAGAGCTTCTTTTCCATGGGTCCAGATGATGATGTCATCAATGTAGCGCAAGTAGAGTAGGGGCGTTAGGGGACAAGCTCAGGAAGCGTTGTTTTAAGTCAGCCATAAAAATGTTGGCATACTGTGGGGCCATGTGGGTACCCATAGCAGTGCCGCTGACTTGAAGGTATATATTGTCCCCAAATGTGAAATAGTTGTGGGTGAGGACAAAATCACAAAGTTCAGCCACCAGGTTAGCTGTGACATTATTGGGGATACTGTTCCTGATAGCTTGTAGTCCATCTTTGTATGGAATATTGGTGTAGAGGGCTTCTACATTCATAGTGGCCAGGATGGTGTTTTCTGGAAGATCACTGATGGATTGTAGTTTCCTCAGGAAGTCAGTGGTGTCTTGAAGATTGCTGGGAGTGTAGGGCCTGAGGAGAGAGTCCACATAGCCAGACAATCCTGATGTTAGGGTGCCAATGCCTGAGATGATGGGGCGTCCAGGATTTCCAGGTTTATGGATCTTGGGTAGCAAATAGAATACCCCTGGTCGGGATTCTAGGCATGTATCTGTACAGATTTGTTCCTGTGCTTTGTCAGGGAGTTTTTTTAGCAGATGGTGTAGTTTCTTTAGGTAATCCTCAGTGGGATCAGAGGATAATGGCCTGTAGAATGTGGTGTTAGAGAGCTGTCTAGCAGCCTCTTGGTCATATTCCAATTTATTCATGATGACGACAGCACCTCCTTTGTCAGCCTTTTTGATTATGATGTCAGAGTTGTTCCTGAGGCTGTAGATGGTGTTGTGTTCAGCATGGTTGAGGTTATGGGGCAAGTGATGTTGCTTTTCCACAATTTCAGCCTTTGCACGTTGACGGAAGCAATTTAGACTGTTGTTTCGACCATCTGGAGGAGTCCACGCAGAATCCTTTTTTTTTTTTTTGTAGTGCTGGTAGGGAGGATTCTGTGGGTTAGTATGCTTTCAGGGGTATGTTGGAAATATTCTTTGAGTCGGAGACGTCGAAAGTAGGATTCTAGGTCACCGCAGAACTGTATCATGTTCGTGGATCTGGAGGGACAAAAGGAGAGGCCCCGAGATAGGACAGACTCTTCTGCTGGGCTAAGAGTATAGCTGGAAAGATTAACAATATTGTTGGGTGGGTTAAGGAAACTACTGTTGTGGCTCCTTGTGGCATGTAGCAGTTTAGATAGTTTAGTGTCCTTTTTCCTTTGTAGAGAGGCAAAGTTTGTGTTGTAAATGGTTTGTCTAGTTTTTGTAAAGTCTATCCATGAGGAAGTTTGTGTGGAAGGTTGTTTTTTTTATGAGAGTATCCAGTTTTGAGAGCTCATTCTTAATCTTTCCCTGTTTGCTGTATAGGATGCTGATCAGGTGGTTTCTTTGAGCGTGTGAGACAGTCTCTCAGCATAGTCTGTGTGATTTGTAGATTGTAATGGATCTGAAGAAGTGGGCTGTAGCCCACAAAAGCTTATGCTCAAATAAATTTGTTAGTCTCTAAGGTGCCACAAGTACTCCTGTTCTTTTTGCGGATACAGACTAACATGGCTGCTACTCTGAAACCTGTCATTATGCAAGGCACTGCATTTAGCCGTATGGAGTGGAAATCCATCAACTTCATGAAAAAACTCATACAGATACAGACATCATCTTCCTTTCCAAATACAAACAGATGGACATCATACCAAAAGGACTAAAGGTAAAAAAATCTATTACAATCTATATATCACAGAGACTATGCTGAGAGACTGTGTCACACACTCTGAAAGAAACTGCGAAACCACCTGATCAGCAGATGTTAAAAAAAATCAAGTGGACTATCACCTGGTTAAGTGGCCGTTTTTTGGCAGGAAAGAGGGTATTAGTGAGAAATCTACATTTTGCCAAAGAAACAGCTGGAGGTTCACATCCCCACAGATTTTCTGTCTCCTGAACTGCAGCGGGAGATCTTTTTAAAAGAAAAAGAACTATAAGAAAGTGGAACAGATGCCCCAAAACATTCCCTCCTTTCTGTCTATCAACGGCAACTACAACACCTGAGGAACAAAGAAACAGCTTTGGACTGGGGGGGGGAATGCTGTCTGAAAGGAAATTAGCCAGTAAGACTGCTAGAACATGTGGTGAGAGAGACTTTTTGCTTTAAATTCACTTAGCTTATTAAGTTAGGTATTGTATTCTTGCTTTTTATTTCTTTGTAACCAGTCCTGACATTTATGCCTCATTACTTGTAATCACGCAACATCTTTTTCTGTAGTTAATAAACTTGTTTTATTGTTTTATCTAAACCAGTGTGCTTGGATTGAAGTGTTTGGGAAACTTTAGGCTAACAGGATTTGTACATAGCATTTTCTTTTAATAAAATATATTTTATTTATATGAGCATGTGTTGTCCAGGAGAGGGCTGCGCAATATAAGATGCACGTTTCTGGGGGAAAAGTCTGGCACAGGAAATTTGTGGTGTTGCTCTGCAGCGTAATTCAAGAGTGGCTGATACTCCTGCAGGATAGCTGGGAGTAATTTACATGCTGAAAGCTGTGAGAGAGCCGATCAGGAGTGATTGCTCCAACAGCAAAGCAGTGTAAAAGGTACCCCATGCTGGAGAATTGAGGGGATGCAGCTGTCTATCAGTCCAGATTGTACCCTGGGTAATGTCATAGTGTCACAGCTGTAAATTGAGAAGGGAAGTTAGATTTCACCAGAAGAAAAGTTAAGTTGATATAAACCTTGAGAGTTCATTTCACTAACTGACAGTCTGAATTTTTATGTATCTAATTTTTTTATGTAGGTATGTATGTATTTAGATGTGTATGATGGACACACAGTTAATAATCTGCATTGCTTTTATAGGATTTGTAGCTGAACAATTTCTGAACAACACAGCCACTCAGTTGACATACCATGGGTTATGTGAGCTGACTTCAGCAGTTCAGGAAGGAGAACTTTGTGTGTTCTTCAGGAACAACCATTTTAGCACCATGACCAAATATAAGGTATGATTATTAACCTTTTCATTGATTATCGTCTGTATGTCAGCTAGAAAAAGGGAATTTGCACATATTTGTAGTGACAGATGAAAAGACTGCACTTTCTTACTGTATTTAAATGGTGGAGAAATATGACCCATTTCCAAATTACTACTATAAAAAGCAGCTGTGTTTTAAGGTATATGTCATATTTAGATTAAATTATTGTTTTTGATAACTTAGCACTGTTTTTCAAAAATTAAAATAATTAAATATTTTAGCTTATTATAGTATAGAAAAAACATTAATCTCTCTCCCCCTTCCAAAATAAAATTGTTATGCAGCATTACTCTGATTTAAGATCTTTGAGACAAGGTATTTTATTATTGGAATACAGATTATACAGGGTTTATACCCTTTCACTTTTATATTGCTATATTGCTGAATTTCTTGTCTTTGGATATGCTAACAATTAGGGAGATACTCTCATGAAGCAAATCATTGGACAGTGGGTGAACTCTGGGTGATCTCTACCACTTAACACGTTTAAAATACAACTTGTACTCCTGGGGGAATTCTACACCAAGAAATTTTAAAATTCTGCACACAATATTGCAAAATTCGGCATATTTTATTTGTCAAAATAACACAATATAATCATACCAGTTTCTATTATTTTGGTAATTTATTTCAAAATACCTGTCCAGTATGTCTGTAACAGTACAGACAAAAAACAATCAGGAAATATTTATGACAAATAGATTCCTTACTAGGTATATTAATACCTAGCTTTGAGTAATAATTCATATAAACTGCAATACAGAAATGTATTTCTCGCACCCTTCAGAAGAAGTGCAAAGGCTTGGAGGAGTCAGGGGAAATGGAGGAGCTGAGGGAGAGGAAAGTAATTGCTGGGAAGAAGCCTGGGAGTGAACCTGGAGGGTTGTTGGGTGTGGGTGAGAGAAGTATGGAATAGGGGACTTTGGGGATGGAGGGATTGTTAGGGAGTCGGGACCGCCCACATGCAGACCCTGGCTGACCCCTAGCCTCTCCTGTTCAGTCAGGCACACCTGCCCTTGTCCTCATGTGTACCTGCACTGCCTCCCCCCCTCCTCATGTATCTCTGCATCCCCACTCAGTCACCCTCTCCCCATGCATCCCTGACAAGCCCCATGTGTCCCTGCACCCCCAGTCCCATTTAGCCCTTGCCTCAATCTGTCCCCCTCACTAGCCCTTCTGAACCCCCATGTGTGACTCTCCCCAGCAGCTGCATATGCCCCGCTCTCCTGTGCCTCCTCATCTGGCCCTGTGGGCAGGGCACTGTGAGGAATACAGACTCTCCTCCTCCACCCTATCAGCTGCTTGCTGCTATGTCTGGTGAGCCGGCTGCTCTCTGGTCTGGTGCCACAGCAGCACCTGGTGGGCAAAAGCCATAACTGCAGTGCCTCTCCAGCAGAGTGTATTTTCTGTGGAGGGAAAAAAATTCTGTGAGGGACATGAATTCTGCACACGGACAGTGGCGCAGAATTCCCCAGGAGTAAACTTGACCTGCCTTTACTAGAGTTTTTAAAAGATGGTAGTTAAAATGTTTGAGCTAACTTTTTAAAAATACATCTTTTATCCTAGTCTAGACAAGCTCTATATGTGTAGACAACTTGACTAGCACGTAGCTAATGATGGGGTAAATGAGTTCAGTGCTAGGTATGACAATAGCCTAACTGTTTATATTTGCAGAAAATTGTGCAAACACTGCCTGGGATATAGCCGCCTCTGATTAGTTAGCAGCATCTAAAATTGTGGAAAAGCCAATGAACTTCAGAGATGAGAGGGCTCTTGACTGACATCTTCTCTTGAAATAAGAATTATAGGGATTTGAAATTTCTTTGTGGGTAGGAAAGGGTAAACTCTTTGTCCTACAAAGCAATTACATAGAGTGGAAGGTAAACCACTTTTATTGGCTTTTTTCTGATGTGAGGAAAGAGGTTGACATTAAATTTGTAACCAGGCAAACAAGGCTACCATAGGAAAGACTAAGACTCAGTGACTGTAGGGCTCACCTGCTCCATGGATGGAAGGATCTGTCTCATTCAGGTTCAAAGGCACTTGTGGAGCATGATTGCTTTAAGACAGTTTTACAAATCCTGAAAGGCTGCTGTGATTGAATTAACCATATGAGGTTATCCAGAAAGGGGCACTGTCAACTTTGAACTCAGTCAGCCCTCTGGGGAGAGAGGAGTGACCAGGTCTTTGGAGACAAAAGTTCAGAATGACGGAAGTCAACCCCTGGGTGGTTGATGAGGCTGAAAATTCTGAAGTGGAACTCTAGCTAAGTTCTCTCAACATGAGTGTGAGTTTTAGTAAGTTTTACCTTTCTATATTAAAGCTTTGCAGTTGTGTATTAGCCAGATTTTAGTAAAGGAGCCTTCTTTTTTAATTCATGCGTATTTATTGTGCCTTGTAAATAGTGCTAATAATTGCTAATTTTTTTATTACATGGTATTTCAGGACTTATCAGTTAGTGTGTCTCTTGTATATTGGAAACCATAAGCTGGAGTACAGGTTAAATGTACAATGATGTTGGACAATGTGATTGAGGGCAGAATTTGACTGATAAAAAGGAGATTTTGTCTGTTTGTTTATTTAGAACCCAAACAGTTTTACAAATCATTACCATACTGTCCCAGAAATGCAGCATTAATTACAAAAATGAACTTGCCACTTTTTAACATTAGTGATAAGGTTTTTTTTTTTCCAATTTGGTCGTACTAGTGAAGCAGTTGAAAAAGCCAGCTTGACTTTTCGATTGAATTTGTAGGTCTGACACTTTGAATAACTTTTTACTTGTAAGCGTGTTTGTCTCAAGTCACTTTTACTAACTTTTCAGAAAAAAATACATGCTTTGAATTAAGTTAATGTGGAATACAGCAACAACCAATAGTTAAAGGAGTTGTATTCTGCACTCTAAGCCAACAAAGGAGGAAGCTAAAATAGGCCACGAATGAATTTGATGGGGGGTTGGGAGGAAGACTCTGAATACTTGGTAGAAGTGTTGGATGGAGTTGGTGTTGGGAAGCAAGATCTTCTGCTGAATTTTAATCTCTTCCTATAAGCCTCCCCCCTCTCCTCTGTTGTGGGAAGGAAAAGCGGAATTTGTGCCTCAAAATTTTATCATAGTCAAATTTAGTCAATTTGAGACTTTATTCACATCCTAAATGTGCACAGAATACAAATATCATCTGTGAACAGGTTTAGTCATCACTGCTGAGGTGACAGTATGTGCTAAAACTCTTGTTGACAGCAGATATTTAGAATTTTTGCAGCTAGAATTAAAGCCAGAAAAATAGTAGTTTCTTCCATGAGGTGAGACATCCCTATGATTACAAAGATACTGTCTCATAATATAACATAATATTCTAGGAGATCTTATAGGTCTCCAGTTATGTTTGTGGCTTCATGCCCAATGCAAACTCTGAAGAAATGACAAGTGTTTCCATCATTGTTACTGGACTGTTATTTTCAAAATGTAAAAAACTCTGTATAAATCATTCCCTATGGAGCACTGAATAATTAGTGACCTGAATAAGCTGTGCAATTTTAAGACTTTAGATGCTACTTTTATTTATTTATTTAAAATATAGCCTTGCAGATCATTGTAATGATGTTTGTAACGTGAACCAAAACATTGCAGGGAGGGTGGGGGTGGTTTTTTGTGTGTGTGTGTGTGTGTGTGTGTGTGTGGTAGGGGGATATTTAATGAGGCCTTTTTATTTAAAAAGGAACTGTCATACAAGCACCAACCATTTCGAACAACAAATGAATGAGATTTAGAGCAATATACCAATTAGAATCAGCCAATCACAACACAGAAAGTAATATTTAAAATAAAATAGTAAAAATGCATTAAATTCACTTATGATATTGTAATTTAAGTTTTGAAGCTGTTAAGCATGTTTCTGCTGTTCAGAATGGATTGAAGTCACTTTTTTTAACTAGTGAAATATAATATGGGTCAAATTCTGTCTTCATATCCACACGTGGGAAAAGTATTGTTTTTAGCCAGAGCCCAGTATTTGGATCAGAGTTCAAAATTTGGCTTTTCATTTTCATCCTGCGTGCTTTACCAGTTTAGCACACTTAAATATAGATTATATAGTGAGATCACTTTAATACATGAAAATGCTGCGCCTCTGGGATTAAACACAACACCTTTTTAAGTGACCAGCAATAATATAGTTTGGTTTAGGACAGGAAATGAAGAGTGCCTATTACTAAAAATACATTTCTAAGACTGAAAACAAATCTTATCTTAAATTGAATTTAAAATATATGGAAATATCATATTTTGTCAGTATATTTTACTCTCATCCTACTTATAGGTATCCAGCAAATGAAAGGTATTGTATACTTTGAAAATTATGTTTAACATATAGCAATACAATAGAATCTCATGGATTTAGACTTCACTAAATTGCACACAGTCCAGCAGTCTGTCCCCACTTTGCTATGGAGATTTAACACCTGAATAACAAACTTTGTAAAAATAAAGAAGTTTAATAATACAAAATATTTGTATTATTCCAAACATAGAATATTATTCAATATTTGAACATTCGCTAGTACTGTACACAAGTAAATACTCCTATAAATTATTAGGATTAAAGTATACCTATTTAATTATCAAAGTACAATTTGTGGTGCGTTATCCTTGGTTTTAATTACTTACTTTTTACAAATTCACAAAGGACCCTCACCCCAGTCATTTCTGTGAATTTGGGAGATTCTACTGTATATTGTGTACATTTTACATTTTTAATTTTTGCCTTTTCATAATATAAATAGTAAATTACTTTTTCTGAGTGAAGTGTCACTGAATAATTTCCCAGCATGGGTTATTAAAGTCTATCTTGCACATTTACAAATCAATAATTTGTTTTCACATATTAAAACTGAGTGAGCTAATAAAAGAGCTGTCCCAGTAGAACCGATAATTCCTCCATGAAGGATCCCTGTAGGCACTTTGGAAATGT